GAACCCGCCACCTTAGGTGTACGTGGCTGGCGCCTTAGCCGGTTGAGCTATAGGCGCCGAGCCCAGTTTTTCTATTTTTAGTAGAGACAGGGGTCTTGCTTTTTGCTTAGGCTCATCTTGAACCCATAAGCTCAAGCTATCCAACGCCTTGGCTTTCCAGGATTACAGGCGTGAGCCACTACACCCAGCACTCCACCTGTTTAGAAATACCCAGAATCACAATTCTCAAACCAGCTTCCTCATTGCCTTTCCCATCCCAACCCCAGTCCCCATCCACTGATGGAAGAAGAAAACAAAGGAGCTAAGAAGACCCTAGTGTTGGAGACCACAGGCTGCAGTGGAAGGCAGAGAAAGATGATAGTTCCCAGAGAAAGGAGAGAAGAAGCCAGCCATATGGGTTTCCCTCCCTGAATAGAATCTAGGTGGATAATAGGAAGCAGTAAGGAACAGAGTGGGCCGACCCAAAGAACTCACCTTGAAGCACTACAGAGCGAACTCTGGATGTCACTAATACTGATAAGTCACTGGCTTTCCGAAGACAAGACCTGGTGGGTAGGGAGGAAGAGGGAAGAAGAAAAATAACCTGGGGGAACAGAGTCTTGGGTAATGGGATGGAATAGAGGAAGACTCTAAAATCTTGCCTGCTCTCCTAATGAGCAGCAAATAAGTCTTCTTCAGAGAAGAGTAATGGAAGGCCATTTAGGAATCCAAACTGACAGAAGGCTGGGTAAGGTGGAATTATAAATGATGACTAAAAGAAGGGGAGAATACCTGACATAGTCCAACCACCGGGTCCCTTCCAGAGCTGATAGCCATTTATCCTCAGCAACAGATGACTCTGATAAAGGATGAAGAGATCAGAAGGACAGAGAGATTATGAAAACTTAGATTTCTGGTTTAATTAATATCTGTAGCCTGGGCTCAGCACCTGTGGCTCAAGTGGCTAAGGTGCCAGCCACATACACGTATCTAAGGTGGCGGGTTTGAATCCAGCCCGGGCCCGCCAAAGAACAATGACAGCTGCAACCAAAAACATAGCTGGGCATTGTGGTGGGTGGGTGCCTGTAGTCCCAACTACTTGGGACGCTGAGGCAGGAGACTTGCTTGAGCCTAGGAGTTGGAGGTTGCTGTGAGCTGTGATGCCACAGCACTCTACCCAAGGGGACAGCTTGAGGCTCTGTCTCAAAAAAAAAAAAAAAATCTGTAGCCTGATGTGTTAAGAGTAAGTTGAGTAGGCTCAGCGCCTGTGGCTCAGTGGTTAGGGCGCCAGCCACGTACACCAGAGCTGGTGGGTTCGATTCCAGCCCAGGTTTGCCAGAACAACAATAACAACTACAACAAAAATATAGCTGGGCATTGTGGTGGGTGCCTATAGTCCCAACTACTTGGGAAGCCGAGGCAAGAGAATTGCTTAAGCTTAAGAATTTGAGGTTGCTGTGAGCTGTGACGCCACGGCACTGTTACTGAGGGCAACATAGTGAGACTCAAAAAAAAAAAAAAAAGAAGAGTAAATTGAGTAGTGGTTGCCTAGGGTTGAAAATAGGAATGACATTTCTAAAATTAAATCACAGTGATGGTTATTTAATGTTATAATAAAATTAATTGAATTATATAGTTAAAATGGGTGAAGGGTAAATTTTATGGTATGAATATTATATCTCAATAAAGCTCTTTTAAAAAGAATAAGTTGGGGTCAAAAAGACAGGAAATCAGTGAGTCAGTGGGAAATGGGAGTAGAGGAGAGAACTAATGCTCATTGGGCTAACGGGTTACTCACCTGTAATAAGCAAAAATGCAAACAGGTTAGGGTAAGCAGACAGGAGTGAGGGCAAGCGGTCAAAGATTAGTCTCACCAGGCACACAGAGGGCCCTAAGCCTCAAGTGGGCAAGCTGGACATCAGCAAGAGCAGGCAGCTCATCTGTAGTGCCCACCAGGATGACGTCTGTGTGTCCCGCCTGGAGCATTGCCTCCACTGCCCTGGAGGAAAGGGGTCAAGAAATAAGAGAAGGTATCTGTCCTAAAAACATAATCCTTACTTCCTCTCATCAAACTTCCCCTCACCTGATATCTTCCTTGTTAGGGTCACTGGCTGTACAGAAGCCTCCACAGCGGAGAAGATCACTGCCCCCAGGGTGATGCCACGACAGGCGCTGCAGATGAGTGAGGGTGGTTGTGAGACAAACTCCTAGCCCCCAGCTATTCTTGCCCCCACACTGAGCCCACAGGGACAATCCTTCAGCATTGTCCCTGACCTCCCATGACCCTCTAATCCCCAGCCATTACACTGGCCCTTATACTGACCGGTCCACGGCCCTGATGGAAGTGGCCAAATGCTCTCCTGACCTCACTGTCCAGGATCCGGTTAGGGACCCAGAAGTAACGAGGAAGGCTGTGAAATTGAGAGTGATGTCACAGCTTGGCTCAGAGATTTCATTGTAACATAAAACCATCATTACTAGGAATCTGCTTGGGAGGAACCATTCCAAGAGAATCCAGGTTTAGAGATCCAAGACGTAAGAGGGATAGCTTTGTGGGTGTCCTAGGAGGCTGAAGTTTATTCCTAGCTTTTTAGGATCAGGGAGACGTGGGAATATTGGGAGGGCAGCAGGTGTTGAGGTGCACAGGGGATCACCTGGTGGCGACGTCAAACCTCTCATTGACAGTGCTGACCCTCCAGCCTCTGGCTCCCTGCTTCTTCCGCTCAGTTTCCCAATCTTCTGATGTCTCCAAAAGAGGAATAGGTGGTTTTCTGGAGCCAGAACCCTGGCCTGGAGCAGAAGTGAGGCACAGAGGAGGAAGAAAAGGAATCAGAGACAGCTTCTCAGCTGTTTTGTCCTCAGCCAGCCGTTGTTTTTTCAGACTCCTTACCCTGTCCTTAAGTAAAGCACCCTTACTCACCAGCCTTGCTCAAGGTTATCCCCACATACTGTTGGGCCTGACTGCTCTGAGCTCTGGCTTGGACAATGGCCACGGTCACCTGTGCAGGAAAGGACTGCAGGGTCACCTGTGCAGGAAAGGACTGAGCCATCCACAGGCTCAGACTGCTTAAGTGAAAAGAAGGAAATGAGCCCATGTTTTGCTCTACTGTCTCTGTCACCAAGAAAGGAGCTTCCATGGGTCATGGGGAGTGGGGTCAGGAGAACTATTCTAGAACCATGGAATCATAGAATGTTAATTCTGGGAGGAATCTTAGAAGTTACATCATTCAAAGGAGCTTCCATGGGTCACGGGGAGTGGGGTCCGGAGAACTAGTCTAGAGCCATGGAATCATAGAATGTTAATTCTGGGAGGAATCTTAGAAGTTACATCATTCAAACCTCCTCATTTTTCACAGAAGAATCACCAGGGGACACACTGCTGGTAATTGGCAGAGTCTGGCTGGAATTTAGGGCCTTTATTCTCATTCCACTATTATTCATCTCTGCTCTTCAGCCTCTCCTTGAGGAGAGAAGCAGGGAGAATGAAAAGAGGGATGCTGGGGGTAGGGGAGGACTGAAAGATGCAGGGAAAGGATCCTGATGTTCTAAGGAGAGGAAAATTCTAGGTTAGGGGCCTCTTACCTGGAAAGCCTGGGGCTCTAGTCCTCCAGCCTCAAAACCAACTCTAAGAAGTCGAAAGTCTCGGCCATGAATCAGAATCTCCTCAGGGATAAATTTGAGTAGGGACCCTGGGCGGAGGAGCTGGACTCGGGACAAGCCACTCACTGAAGTCAAGAGGTAAAGAGCAGTGTAACATGGACCAGGGTCCCTCTAGAAGGAACTCTTCTAGTCCAACCATTCCGTAGTGTTTTCTGAGAATAGAGGAAGGATGAGGAGGGGTTTCAACAACCCCCCCCCCCCCAGTGAGCTCCTTCACCAAACTCCCCACACTTACCAGCTTCTAACCGCCCAATGTTGATCAGGGCAAAATCATATTCACTGCTCAGGGGAGTGTCCTAGAGGAAGCACATGACTGATGCTACAGACATCTGAAATAACACTCATTTCCCTGCTTTTTTTTTCCCGTAAGCTCTTCAAGGGAATAACCCCCCTAGAGATAGTTCCCACTGACCATTGCTGGTATAGTCAAAAGACTGCCCGTAACCCATGTTTGTCTAAAGCCTTCTCAACTCCCCTGCCCATTCCCCACTGAAAGCCATCCTTTCTCTTACTCTAACCACCTTACCTGGTGCCGCTGCCATCCATGGGGCTGGAAGATGACCCTAAAGTTGGTACAGATCAGAGTTCCAGACAATTCAGGTTCCAGACCCTTCCTCACTCCTGGAGCCCAGGCAAGGATCTGTTCCCCTAAAGGGGAAGAAGGGAAGCCAGGTTATGGCTTCCCCATGTTGTCCCCACTTGAGTATGCCCGCTCCTCTGATACAGGGGCATCTGAAGTGAGAAGAGAGCCTCCCCTAATCTCACTAGAATGTGAGCCTATGAGGAAAGAGAATTTGTTTTTCTTTTTTTTTTTTTTTTACTTCCGTAGCCAGAACAGGCACATAATAGTCACTCAAGTATTTATTGAATAAGTAAATGAGAAAAGGGGCAAAAGGGTAAGAAAACAGAGGGACTATCAAGTCCAAACTGGCAGCAAGCACCAGATAGAAGAGAGAGCAAGCCTCAGGCAGAAGCTGTGGGCCAGGAGAGGAAGGAATACAGAGGTATCTTTGGTGCGGGCATGAAATGAGGTTGGTATAGGATGAAATTTCGAGGAGCCTTTGGAGATCAGAAGTATTGAAAGTATTATTACCTACCTGGAAGGCATCCGGAGGCCAAGGAACTGCTGAGCTGACCACTTCTGAGCTCTGGCATCCTGCTTCTCTGGACAGTCTTTGGTCTGGAGAGCTGAGAAGGGTGTAGGGTTAATCCCCAGGCCTCCCCGACCCTGAGGTCTGAGATTACCCCAGCAGCCACTTTGGGAGACCTACACCCGAGACTCTCAGGGGAAACTGAGATCAGTGACTGTGGGGAGCGGAGGACCGGTCCAAGGCTGGCAGACGTTAAAGGGAGGGGCTGGTTAATGGATAATGAGACGATGAACTTGAGACATGAAGAAGGCACCCAGAGAGAGCCTCATCGAAGGAAGGTGATATGACAGGCGCACCCTCCTCCTCTAGGTCCCTTGCTTCCCCCTCTTTTGTCTCCACCTTGCCCTATTCTCACCCTCTTGCTAACCCCCCACATTTCTTCTCCTTACCCCCATCTCTGGTTCCTCCTTCTGGGGGGTAATGTTGAAACTCTGGCCCCGGCCCCCCCACCACATTTCTCTGGCTCCATCCGGGGACAGAGCAGTTAAAGGTGGGAAAGTTCGAGGATGCTCAGCTTCCTCAGGGAGAAGCTGACCCTTGCAGTTGAGAAGAGAGATCTTAGGGAAAAGGGCAGAGGGATGGACACGAGGAAAAGCAGCATCTGAGGTGCAGGGAGCACAATTTGGGGGTTTGGGAAAAGGTGTGTCCAGGCCAGCCTGAGTAGGCTCCTCGGAAACTTCAGGACTCTGGAAGGAAGAGGGATGCCCAGCCCCTTAAAGGAGAATACACACAATTTTGCAAAATGGAGGAGCCTGCGAAAGATGAGGGGAAATGGGGGACGGGGAGAAAAACACCCAGACTCCCTTCTTTACTCCAAGCCCAGGTCCTATTCTCTTCCTGTTCGTGAGCATAGAGGCTGTTTGAAGGGAACAGTAATAGATTTTCAAACTGGAATGATTTGGGCTACCTCTCTGGAGTCTCTGTGATTTCCCTGGGAAGCTGTTTTTATATTTTGTTTTGTTTTTGATTTTTTTTTTTGGTCTTCTCAAAGGGGGAGTAAGTGGGGGAGAAGCATATGTAAAAGTAGTTCAAATCTCCTTACTGCCTCCCCCACAAACCTAAGAAAAATAGTTGAGAAGGGGAAGTAGATGAAAATTGGATCTGGGGGGATTTTTGTAGGGGAGACCCAAGAATTTGGGAGAGGTGCTGGTTTAAGTGTTTTTGTTTATCTTTCTCCAGAAAGAATGACACATACCTCACGTGGAGTGCAGTGAGAAGTATGGAGAGAAATTGAAATGTGCCCAAAATGCCCAGCACCAGGTATGTTGGTGTGCAAGGTCTTGGGGAGGAGGTGGAAGGAAAAGATCTGCCCATCACACAGACCCACCCCTCAGCCAATCAAGTGGAGGAATAGGACTCCACCCTCCATCCCAGACACCAGATCTCCAAATGAATGATTCATGTTCAGGACTCTTAAAGCTGAGGGCAGGAAACCTCTCTTCAGTTCAGCAGTTGCATCTCCCTTCCCTCCTCCCTGCAACCCAAGAAGCAAATGTGGGGGTGTGGGGCCACTAGGAAGGTAGTGAAGGAGCTGCAGCCAAGGGTGACTTGGGGCAGCAATGTAAAAATATTTATTTCAACATGAAATAAAATACAAAATAAGAATTAATGAGCTGCTGTTTTATTGTTTCTGAGTCTACAGAGGCAGCAATCATTGGGTTGCGAGGCCCAGTTTCCCAAAGTAACATTCAACTCTCCCCTCTCCCCAGTGCACACACCCTTCTGACTTTAAAAGTTCTCTGTCTCAGGCAGCGCCTGTGGCTCAGTGGGTAGGGCACCAGCCCCATATAAGGAGGGTGGCGGGTTCAAACCTGACCCCGGCCAAACTGCAACAAAAAAATAGCTGGGTGTTGTGGCAGGCGCCTGTAGTCCCAGCTACTCAGGAGGCTGAGACAAGAGAAGCACCTAAGCCCAAGAGCTGGAGGTTGCTGTGAGCTGTGACACTACAGCACTCTACCAAGGGTGACAAAGTGAGACTCTGACTCTAAAAAAAAAAAAAATAAAAGTTCCCTGTCTTGGCTGCCCCTGTGGAAATAGTGAAGATGTTGTGAGACAGGAAATTGGTCTGGAACAAAGAGGTGTACATCTGCTAGGAAGTTGGTCCAGAAGCCTGATTCTTTAAGTCCTAGGGGCTGTCGAACACACCTCACTTCACCCCCAGGCATTACATGGGCCTCCACTTCTTGGGGGAAGAAAATACTTCCCAAAGTGTGTAGTAAGAAAATAAGAGTATAAGAGGAGGTATACACCACAATTTTAAAATCCCATTATCCACTTTGTCCTCACAACCCTTCATTCAAGAGCCTCATTCTTTTCTTTGACCCTTTGAGGTACAGAAACAGTAGAGTAGTAAAACAGGAAAAGTATCAGGGGAATGGGGTGGAAATCAGAGGGAGTGATTTGGATCAGCACCTCACCAGGAATGCGAAGGGGACGTAGGCTAAGTGACAGAAAGACTGCACCACCCCAGCACACATCCAATAGCAGTGGATGAAGGGAACGGTGGAGGGGCATGGGGCTGTATTAGATTTTTCCATTTTCAGAATCCTGGTCTGGCTGCAGGTTTGTGCCAGGGGTAAAGGCTGCTAGGAGCGGTAGCTGGAGGAGGAAGGTGGGGCTGAGTGACTCATAAGATGAGTCACAGATCCAGTTATAAGCACAAAAAGAGGCCAAGGTCCTTCCCATCCCCAGTCCTCTTAGCTACTGCCAGGCAGCTTCTGTTGCTCTTTTGTACTGCCCCGTATGTAAAGGAGGTGGTTCAGAACAAGTCTGCATGGGGAACCGTAATAAATATTTTGTTAATCACACTAAGTATAGGGGACAAAACACCCTGTAATTTGCAGACTGAGAATCTGCAAAGTGGAAGGGACAGAGTGCCTGTGTGACTCATCTGAGTCTGCAGTTGAAAGGCCTAGAGGAAAAAAGGAAATTAGAAAAATCTGGGGTGCAGGTGATTCTAGGCTAGGAAGGGGCTAATTCTGTCTTCTTAGTGCAGCACTAACTCCTTGGAGAAAGAGAACTCAGCTCTGGGATGACTGAGTAACACAGAGACCATCATCTCTGAAATGCTCCTTTATTGAGGAAGAACAACTAGAACCTTGGACGGATGACTAAAAGGAGCATAAATGGCAAGAGCCTGCTTCCTAGAACTCATTCACAGCCAGCTCCCTCCCTATGGGCTCAGTGTCACCTCCCAAACACACAATACAAAGTTGCCGCTAAATTTTTTTTTTTTTTTTTGAGACAGAGTCTCACTTTATCCCCCTTCACCAACTCCTGGGCTTAGGTGATTCTCTTGCCTCAGCCTCTGGAGTAGCTGGGACTACAGGAGCCCACCACAACACTAGGCTATTTTTTTGCTGCAGTTCAGCCAGGGCCAGGGCTCGGGCCCCACTCACTGAACCACAGGCGCTGCCTTGCTTCTAATTTTTTATTGTCTGTGGGCTTTAGTTTTGCTTGAGAAGAAACTGAGCCAATAGGAGAGGGAAGGTACTTCCCTTCCACAGCCCTACAGCACTGAGTTTAACACCATCCCCATCCTTAAAGAGACTGAATCTTTAAAAAAACTTTTTTATATAATATTTTTATTTGATAAAAACCAGTATGGGGAAAAATCTTTTGGTTAAATCTTATAACTTTCGATAAAACCAGCACAGGTTAAGGAAGAGATTCAGAGACCAATCCTTAGCATACTTGTTCCATTGGAGATGGGGGTAGAGAACACAGCAGGAGTGTAGTACTGTCTTAAACCAAAAGGGGAAAAATAAGAACCCTGAAAGTCTCCCCCTTTCATTAAAAAGCTTCAGTAGGTACCACAGATGCCTTGGATTAAAGGAACTAAGTGCACTTAAATTCAAGCCTGAGAGATGACTTTATCCCTCATCTAGGATGACAGCATCTTCCATCCCCCTCACTCACCAGGGAATGTCTGCTCATTTTGAGTGCACACTATGTACCCCTTCTTTCCTTCTTGTCAGCACAGTAACTGCACAGGCTTGCCTCTTCCACCCCCACCATCTTCCTAAAATACTACAGCCAGTATGAGTGTGTCATTTCCCAGACATTATGTTATGCCATCACCTCCCATCCTATCCAATCCCTCCCCCAAAGAATAAAGCAAAAGACACTTCACTGTCCAGTATAAAAAAATATACATCATCTCAGGGTCCATCATCTTTAGAATGGAGAAGTTTTTCAATGCCTCAATAAAGTTACCTTCTCAAATAAAAAATAATTTAATAAAAAGCCATAGAGCCTAAAGCCCTATTTTGCCATTTTAAACCCTAGATGACCCATCAAAATTTCCATCTTTTTCTTTGAAAAGAAGGCAGAAAGAATTGGGATTGGCTAATTTATAAATAAAAACAAAAACAAACATAACACAAGCCTTCTGGTTTTGTTCATTTGTCCTTGGTTTTTAAAAAACAAAAGTATTAACTAGAAATCTAATGATCAAATCCAAAAACGGCAGTCCAGTGGAGAAACAAAACTTTTCTGGTTTTAGTTTCTGGGAAAATCCCTGGTCTGTTTCCATTCCTACTGGTCTAGGCCAGTATCCTATGACAGAGAGGCTTCAGGGAGAGTTTGAGGAACTTTGGAAATTCAAGGTGGTTGAGCCACCTGTTGTTTGGTGTATGGTGCGGGGTGAAGGTGTCACAAAGTAATGCTGTCATGGATATTGTTCAACCCCCAGAAATGAGGACATCACTAGGGTGAGGTGAGCAAGGCACTCATCTTGGGCACAAAATTTAAGGGGTGCCAAAAACCCAGTAACGAAGATAAATATTATTTTAATGCAATGTGTTTTTAAAAATCAAAATATAAAAATCCATGATGGACAGTATCAAAAATTAGACAGGATCCATCCCAACCAAAGCTCAATTTAGCTTCACTTACCTCATCCTAATGAAGGTCCTGTCAAGATCCTGTCTTTAATATTCTGCTATTTTGTTCAACATGAATTTTTCACATTAATTTTGCAAAATATCACAGTAAAAAGTATCTCGATTACTCAGTTTTTTGGTACCCCTTAAATTTTGCACCTGAGGGGAGTGCCTCTCCTACTGCATTCCAACCCTGCCCAGCCTTACAAACCTCCCTCCACTGGAACATTGTTACTTCTTTGATGGAAAGCAATCTATTTTCAAATAAAAGCCTAAGAATAGCAATAGGAAGTGGCTGAATCAACAGACTAGCAGATTTGGAAAGTGACTTTTGAGAAGGAATCTTTCTAAACTATGAGCAGTTCCAATGAGGAGGCCAGTCTTGGCTGCCTTTACTCCAGAGAAGGAATGGGATGAAAGCTTTCCAGGGTGGGTAAAAGGAACATTTGCAAACGAGCCACCCCACCCCCAACACATACACACATACTCCCAGCCCATGTTTGCCTTAGATCAAATGTGGATTACATTCGATGGGATGGATTATGAGTAACTCAAAAGAGAAATCTAAATACAGAAAAATAGCTCCCTATTATAATACTCTGGACACTTAAGTACACTTATTCCCCTTCTTCATATGCACCCAGGAATGCATACAATTGCATAGCTGATTTATTTTCCCAGCCAAAAAACATAAGAGAAAAAGGAAAATCGGGCCACAATAGGTATTCCAGTTTAAAGCTCTTAGAAATGGCTCTGGCCAGAGCATAAGCTGTCCAGACTTGTGCTTTGTGCAAAATGCAAAGGAGCCCCCTGCTGTGTCCACAGTCTCCCCCCCTCCACACACACTTAAAGAACAGAGTTGGGCCAAGGAAAGGGAGAAATCCAAAGACAGATCAGCTAATTGGGAGTAATCTGTGATCTGTGGTTACAGCTCACTAAAATATATTTCTCTAACTATCTTTTAATAAATTGTCCCTAACCCCCATCCCATATTTCAACATCAGTCCTAATATCAAAAATATCTTTTCTTACAAAGTATTTTTTGTTACTATGTATTTTAATAAACTAACCACAGATTACGGTCAGCTATGGCTTAACAAAAGAAGCCAGGATGTTAAATTCATTCTCCAAAAGTAGAGAGAAAAGAGAAAGAATCACTTAAGTAGGAAAAAAAAAATTACTTTTTAAAATGTTTTTGCTTTGGGGGTCTTTTTGTTGTTTTCCTTAAAAAAAATTAGTCAATAAAATAAGTTGCTTTCTACAGAAATGCAGCAGCCAGTTACTACAGAGGATGGTAGTGCTCTATTTAGGTTTTTGGTTTTGTTTGAAACAGTCTGGGTAAACATCTGTCCTTCCCTCAGCCTTCCCTAAGGTGCACTCCAAGTCCAATATATGGTTATTGCTAAGTAGTTAAAAAATAGATTACTTCTGCACCAGTCCAGGAGAAAGTCTCACACACACACACATACACACCTGCTCTTCTCATCACTCTCTTCCCTTCCTGAGAGGGAACTTATTTTTTTAATAAAATTAAAGTCTTTTATAAAAAATTCACAACCTTCTTAGCTGAGTTCAGCCTTCAAAAAGGATGAGGAAAAGATAGGGGCCAATCTTCTCTTAAACTAGAACTGATGACAGGTACCTGTTTAGCAGAAAATAAAACTTAAGAGGAAAAGGATTCCCCTTTCAAGTTCCTCCCTTTGCCATCTCAATAAACTGTGATTTAAGCTACCCCCCTCTTAACAAGCACCCATAAGCACACATTTCTGACTGTCTTTTCAGATCCCTCAAGAGGAATAATTTATACAACCCTAATTTCTATTTAAATCAATAGCAAATTTGTCCAATTTCCAAGTTTCCCTCCACATTCCCAATTCCATCACCATGTGCTTTTTCCCTCTCCCTAACCTAGAAGACTTCGGTCTATTTTTTTCTTTTATTGACTGAGAACCTCCTTTGCCTGTTCCTCCTCCCAATTTCTGCCCACCTCCCCCTACACACAACAAATCTTTCCTTACTACTTTCCCTTAGCTTCCAGACAGGACCCAAGGGGTTGTAAGACAGAATTACCATCTCCCTGCTCCCCCCCTACCTCCTTAGTCCCATCCAGTCAACCTCTGCAAAGGAATAGTACAGCCCTTGAGGTGCTGTTCAGCCCTGACCTGCTCTTGCCAGCCTGGCAGCACTCCAGCGCACACACACCTAAAAGTTTCCAGCCAGGCTCCCATAAACATTACTGCATTTGCCCCGTCAACATGGGGGCTGGGTCTTGATGAGCCAATTAGTTGAGCTTAACCTTCTTTGTTTAGCCCCCTTGCCCTCCAAGGTGCCAACCATTCAGAACCTGTGCACCAGTAGCTCCCCACCCGGTTCACGTTCCCGTCTCCTCAGTTCTTCCCTGTAACAGCAGGAACAAAAGTTGTTTGTCTCGGGGTGTCCGTAGAAGCTGCAGTTCGGTTGTTTGCACTTGGTTTGGGTTGGGGGAAGCCCCTGGGGACCTCCAGCCCATCCATCTGGCTCAGGGGGCTCTCTATAGCCGTTGCTATAGGAATCAGCCACACGGAAGGGGGATGGTAACAATGCACCCCTGTGAACTCCATCCTTGGAGTGACTGCCTGGCTCCAGAGAAGGGATGCTGTCCTGGTGGGGGTAGGGTCGCCCAGGAGGGCACTGTCTGGGGAAGGTGGCATATGGTGGTAGGCCCCCCCCACATGGACCCCCTGCCAGCTGCCTCCGGGGTTCCTGGCAGTGGACTCCACTCCCAGAAGGTCGAGGGATAGTAAAGCCCCCAGGATAACCAGTAGAGAATGCCATTGTCTTGGACTCTGCTGGGGGGGCAGTCAGCTGCTCCTCCCCGACATCTGGCTCTGGCTTTTTGGCTGGAGGAGGCCCACTCCCTACTACTCCATTCATGACCTTCCTCTCTGCCTCCTTCTGCTTCTGTTCTGCCAGGAATCTCTCCTCAGCATCAGAAAGATAGCGCTGGATCATCTCCTCCTGATATTGGTGACGATGACCCATCTTCAGGGTTCCAACAAAAATAAACTTCCCCTCCCCTTGCATTGCAGTCCTCATGATGCTCAGGCTTTGCGTCACCTCCCGGCTATACTTGCTCCCTCCATTACCAACAGACTCAGCTGTGGCCTTCTCAGATGCAGGCCCATCCCCAGCTGCCTCTTCCTTGCCACCTTTCCAGCTCTTTAGTGAGTTTTTCTTTTTCTTCTCCAGTGTCTCAGTGCCACTGCTCACCCCTGACCCTGTCCCTGCCCCTCCCGGCTTAGACCCCTTGCTGTGCATCAGGCCGCCCATGTTTTTCTTGAGCTTGCTGCCCAAGGTCTTGCCAAAGCTGCCCAGTTTGTTAGCCACAGAATCTGCTCTCCTTTTGTCCTTCTCCCGATCTCTCTTGGACTTCTCTTTCCGCCTGCTGCCCTCGTTGCTAGTAGAACTGCTGCCAACTGACTCCTTGTCTGATTCCCCAGACTCAGGAGTTGACCGGGGCTCATCACCAGCTGATGCTGTGGGGGACTCAGGCTGGGCCAAAGGAGCCTGGAAGAGATAAAAACAGTGTTGACAGTTATCCCATTGGTCTGAGTTAGGGAAGCCCCCAGGGGTCTCTTGCCCATCTAGCTCAAGGAGCTCCCTCCAGCCAGTGCTATAGAGACTGGCCATGTGGAAGGGTGGTAACACTCTTAAGAACATCATCCCTGGAGGGACTGCCTTGCTCCAGAGAAGAGTTGCTGTCATGATGGGGGATGGGTCACCCAGCAGGGCACTGTTGTTCCTAGCTCCAGTCAGCTCTCTTTGTGGGCCAAGGAAAGACATATCTAACATCTGACTTTTATCTCACCCACTGCAGTTCGACTCCCTTCTGTAATAAGGAGATGTCAAAAGGAAAACTTGATTGTTCTTCTACAGCAATGAGCAATCACACAATACATAGCCTCTGGGAGGCTATATCACACAATACATATCGTCTGGGAGGCCCAGACAATACAATATTCTTTATTATATATTTCTCTATGCCAAATTCTGCTCAAAATTAACCTCAAGGAAATCCTGACTAACCACAATAAACCAGGCCTAACCACTTTTGCATCTCCTCAACTCTTTTACACTCAGCACTGGAGTTTATCAATTTGTCCTTACTTCTGTGTTCCCATTCTCGCTCAGAAGCCAGGGGATCGGGCTCTCTTTAAGCTATGTATATTCTGTCTCCTTCTGGTGCCCCCCTAAAGAGATCTGTCTGCAGAGAGCTTATAACAAAGTAATGACAATCTCAAGTTTAACAAAGAAAGTCCAGAAAACTTTTTTTAAAGAATGTGTTTTAGTATCAGGAAGCAGAGCCTGGTTGGAGAGGAGATGTGGAAAACAGGAAGTGTGACATATTTTAACCCTTAATCATAAGCTCAGAACGGATTCAGACGACCACCACCAGATCTTCTTCTCCATGTCACTGAACATGAGGTCACAAAAAGGCAGTTGTGGGAGGGTTTTCACCTGTGCATCTGAGGACAGTGGGATCCACTTCACATTCATGTAGCTATGCAGCAGGTGCAATTTGACCTCCAGGGACAGAATTACACTGTGAAAGGAGAAGAAAAGAAAACCTGTGTGACTTTATGCAAGCAAAGCAGTGTGATAGATATAGTTGGGAAGAAGGGTGGGAAAAGGCTTGGGACTCAAACAGGGTTGTGTCTGAATTATAGTTCTACCAATTAATAAGCTTTCTGACCCTGAGCAAGTCACTTCAACTCCCTGAAACTCAGCTGGGGTCAATAATGGGTATAAATAATAATATCTATTCTGGGAGATTGTTGTGAAGATTAAAATATTATTTGGAAAGGGACCAGCACAGTGTCTAGAAAATAGGAAATACTAAACAGTGGCCATTATTATTCTTACTGTAAATATTACATAGAAGAAGCTTTTGGTTTTGATAATCCGTCAACTCTGGATTTTTAAATCAAACCCTCTTAGCTGAGACCCAGTTGTAGAAGCCCAGAGAAGGAAGCAGGCGGTAAGAGTTCAAGGAGGAGCTTTTACATTTATACTCTTTTCACAGGGAAGCTGTGCGCAGGAAGAAGGCTTAACAAGGTATAAGGAAGCAGAATAGGGGTGGGAGTGGAAAAGAAAATATTTTTCTTGCTCTATTTAAATATCAGAAAAGCAAAAACCAGCTTGACATGGTAGCTCATACCTATAATCCTAGCACTCTGGGAGGCCGAGGCAAGTGGACTGTCTGAGCTCAAGAGTTTGAGACAGAGCCTGAGAAAGAATAAGAGCCTGACTGTAAAAATAGCCATGTTTTAGGCAGTGCCTGTGGCTCAGTGAGTAGGGCGCCAGTCCCAACCGCCAACAAAAAATAGCTGGGTGTGTGACAGGCACCTGTAGTCCCAGCTACTCGGGAGGCTGAGGCAAGAGAATCGCCTAAGCCCGAGAGCTGGAGGTTGCTGTGAACTGTGACACCACAGCACTCTACCAAGGGCAATAAAGTGAGACTCTGTCTCTAAAAAAAAAATTGCCAGGTTTCATGGTGCGTGCCTGTAAGTCCCGGCTACTTGGGAGGCTGAGGCAAGAGGATCGCTTGAGCCCAAGAGTTTGAGATTGCTGTGAGCTATGACACCAAGGCAAAAAGACTCTGTCTTAAAAAAAAGGGGGGGGGGGGCTCAGCATCTATAGCTCAACCGGCTAAGGCGCCAGCCACATACACCTAAGGTGGCGGGTTCAAATCCCCAGCCCAGACCCGCCAAACAACAATGACGGCTGCAACCAAAAAATAGCCAGGCGTTGTGGCGGGCGCCTGTGGTCCCAGCTATTTGGGAGGCGGAGGCAGGAGACTCGCTTGAGCCCAGGAGTTGGAGGTTGCTGTGAGCTGTAATGCCACGGCACTCTACCCAGGGGGACAGCTTGAGGCTCTGTCTCAAAAAAAAAAAGGGGGGGGTAGAGATCCCATCACTACTAAAAATAGAAAAACTAGCCAAGCCTTGTGGCAAGTGCCTATAGTCCCAGAGACTCCAGTGGAGGCTGAGGCAAGAGGATTGCTTGACCCCAAGAGTTTGAGGTTGCTGTGAATTGTGATGCCACAGCATTCTACCCACTTTTGCATCTCCTCAAGGGCAACAGAGTGAGACTCTGTCTTAAGGAAAAAAAAGGTCAACAGAGTAAGACTCTGTCTCAAGAAAAAAAAAAAAGAGGGTGATGCCTGTGCCTCAGTGGGTAGAGCCAGCCCCATATACTGAGGGTGGCAGGTTCGAATCTGGCCCTGGCCAAACTGCAACAAAAAATAGCCAGGCGTTGTGGTAGCCTGTAGTCCCAGCTACTTGGGAGGCTGAGGCAAGAGAATTGCCTAAGCCCAAGAGCTGGAGGTTGCTGTGAACTGTGATGCCAGAGCACTCTACCCAGGGCAACAAAGTGTAAAAAAAAAAAAAAAAAGAATTTGATTATCTTGATTTTCTAATCATTGTTTTGGGGATTCTGGGATGTATCTGTGTAGAAACATTCTTCCTATTATAAGAAAAGAACAAATTGAAATCCCAGGATTCCCATCTGTTTCACAGAGAGAAAAAGCACCTGCACGATGCAAAAGTCCTAGTGCCCAACCTGCCTTCAACCTCTCCATCTTCCCAAAGAAGCTGGAATTACAATGCAACTGTCTTGCCTCTGAGCTGAGGAAAAACACCTGGGAAATGGATACTGCATGTGAAAGAGATTCCAGCCACAAAGCAGATGAAGAGGCTAAGCCTGCCTCACCTGGCCAATCGGATGTTGTCATTGTCATCTCTTCCCCACTCCCAGCCCTTTCCAGGGTCCACAGAAAAGTGCAAGGGCAGCAGCTTATGCTCTGAATCTGTAAGTGGGATCACAGCTGTGGAGGGAAAAAAACAGACCATTAAGGAGTCTCCTTCAGGGGAAGGCAGCTGAACACAGGATTACTTTCCTAAAACCATACTACAGGCCTCTAATTGTAGTCACCTTTCAATTCTTTCCTATAACTTGCCCCTGGCATTAAAACCAGTTGGCTAGTTTTTCCCTACCACCCAGCATACAAGTTAGGCCACAAACCCATGACTCCCACATCAAATAATGTTTTTAATGTTATTGACAATTAATGTGTATTCAGGGAATTCAAAGTCATTATTATGACAAATGCCGAAATCTCTTAGAAGGGCATATAACCTTAATACCTAAGTCCTTTACTTCAGAACAAGGATTAGAGGCCATTTTTCTTTTACCCCAACCATTTTTGTTTTGTTTAATGAAAGCCCTGGTATATGTTATATTTTTAGTGAAACAGTATCAACATACATGGTCTGGGTTTGCATGTCACTTAATTCTTTCCTCTTACATTAGCTCTCATTTCCATGTTTTCAAGTGAAAATAATGCAGACCAAAGACACTTCATTCAGCACCTTGTTCTTTGGCATTCTCCTTCTGCTCCATGGACACAAGTGCAGAGAAGTGGGCCTGATCATAGGCGAGCACCAGAGGGGAGCGGTGACACTGGTTGACTGGGACCTCCAACGGCAGATAGATTCCCCCAAAGGGAATAGGGGCAAAAGCTGCAGGAAGCCACAAAGATTACCAATAAGGCTATGTTCTTGCCTAGTGGACAATCCCTCCAACTTAGCTCTGTCAACAGAGTCCTCCTTTCACTCTATCTTGTTTAATAATTCTTTCCTGAGAAGATTTATCAACTAACCTCAAGTGCTTTTCTCTGAATCTCTTGAGAATTCTGCATTGTTCTCATTTACATTTTGTCTATATATCCCCTTTCCTCCCTCCTCCCAGTGCTTATTCCAAGGCTCTGTGAAAAGAGGGTGCTAAGGGTAGAGTGAGTACTGACTGGCTGACTCACCTTCCCCTCCAGAGTCTCTCAGCATGGTGTCTGCTACAACAACTATGGGCCTCCTAAGCACATGAGCAAGGACAAAGACGTGGAACTCTTCTAGGCTCTCATACACAGGCTCTTCTGAACTTTCCACCCTAGAATGGCAGGAGGGAAGAGAATGAAAGGACGCAGTGGAAAGAGAGGGGAAAAAACAAGAGATCCCTTAAGACCAGTTCTGCAGAAAGAAAAAAGAGGAAATGTTCTTTCCTGGTTTTCCAATATTAAGGCTGCCACAGATACAGCTGATTACTTTATGCTTCTATGGCTGTTTTTACTTCAGTTTCATAGATTAGGAAAAGAGATTCAAAGGCTTAGGGGTTAAAAGTGATGTTAGGTACTGGAGCTAATCCACATCTCTTAATATTCATCCTACTCAACAATCTCTCCCAATTCTCTTTCTCTAGTAGCTCAAAACACATAGTTTAATCCGGCTTATTCTATACACCATAACCACCCAAACATCACACTTATCATGTCTTACCAAAAACTCCAAAATTTCTCTTCTTATGTTCCCTTAAAGAACAGCTTTACCTTCCAACCATAAACCTAATCAGAAATTGTGACATATTTACTGTGCTTTATCTCTCATCTCCAATTAATCCCCTGCCTTAACCACTTCCACCTCCCACAGGTTTTGTCTGTCTCCTCTGGCCTATCTTCAGTTCACCACCTGTTTCACATGCAAGGCCCTCCTTCCTGATTACTACGTCTGCCTCTTCTCTCACTCCTACATCTTCCTCCACTCTGGGGTCATTGTGTGCAAATACAGTGTGACAAATTTGTTCCTACTACTCATATACTAAAAATTTAATGGCTTCCCAACCTCTAAAGTAGTGATTTTAAACCTATGTGCCACAAAAAAAATTTTAAAGATCATTAAATTATTTTATTTATTTATTTATTTTTGAGACAGAGCCTCCAGCTGTCCCCCCTGGGTAAAGTGCCATAGCATCACAGCTCACAGCAACCTCCAACTCCTGGGCTCAAGCGGGTCTCCTGCCTCAGCCTCCCAAGTAGCTGGGACTACAGGCACCCGCCATAATGCCTGGCTATTTTTTGGTTGCAGCCATCATTGTTCTTTGGTGGGCCCGGGTTGGATTTGAACCCGTCACCTTAGGTGTATGTGGCTGGCGCCTTAGCCACCTGAGCCACAGGCGCTGAGCCTAAATTATTTTCAAAAGAACTTCAAAGCACAGTATTTTCTTTTTCTTTTTTAGTCTTTCTTTTGATCAACATAATTTAAGTGTGCCATGAAGTTTAACTATAAGTTCAAGTGTGCCTTGATATAAAAAAGGTTGTAAAACCCTGCTCTAAGTAATGTTATTCAACATTGGGTATTTGTAATAAACATGGATTTCTGGGCCTTACCTCAGTCCAATTCAACTGGACTTTCTTGGCATGTAGGTACAGAAATCTGTTTGCTGTTGTTTTTGTACTTTTGTTTTTAAAGAAACAGGATCTCTTGTCAGCCGGGCTGGAGTGTAGTAGTGAGATCATAGCTCACTGCAATCTTGAGTTCCAAGCAATTCTCCCACTTCAACCTCCTAAGTAGCTGGGACTGCACTCTGTGCTGCCACACACAACTAATTTTTTCATTTTTTGTACAGATAGGGTCTTGCTATGTTTCCCAGGCTGATCTCAATCTCTGGGCCTCAAGCAATCCTCATACCTCATCTTCCTAAAGTGCTGGGATTATAGGCACATCCAGGTCTGGCAAAAATCTGTATTTCAAACAATTCTCCCAGATTGTTCTTATGTATAACAAAGTCTGGATAGATTATAATTTTTAACTTTCTACAGGGAATCCATAAAGTTTGAAACAAATCTTGTATATCGTATAATTTCATCCATGCTTATTTCAGTTTTGATTTCTAAAAAATAAAGCATTCCTTTTTAAACAATCCACAATACCATTAATTTCACACTTACTGAACACATAGACATTAGTTTCCCCAACTGTTTTATAATGTCCACACATTCCAGCTGGTTGATCAGTCTCTTAGGTGTCTTTAAACCTGTAAGATAGGCTTGGCATCCGTAGCTCATGGTTAGGGTGCCAGCCACATACACAGAGGTTGGTGGGTTCGAACCCAGCCCAGGTCTGCTAAACAATGACAACTACAACAAAAAAAATAGCCAGGTATTGTGGTAGGCACCTGTAGTCCCAGCTCCTTGAGAGGCTGAGGCAAGAGAATCACTTAAGCCCAAGAGTCTGAGGTTGCTGTGAGCTGTGATGCCATGGCACTCTACTGAGGGTGACATACTAAGACTCTGTCTCAAAAACAAACAAATAAAAAAAACAACCTGTAACATACTAGGTCATTTGTTCTACAGTTTCCCAAAGTCTGGATGGTATACAATTTTAATTCCTTAGCATGGCACACAAAAATATGGGCTGCCCAGCTGTATCTCTTATTTTGTGCCACATACTCTATATTCCAGTAATACTACCTGTAGTTCCTAGAACATACTATGCTATTACACACCCCTGTGCCCTTGTCATGGCTCCTCTCTTACCTTCTAACATCCTTTTAGCCCAGAGTTCCCTGGACACTGGACTGTGGGAACCCAGTGAGAATTCCATGAAGATATTTCCTCCTCCCCCACTTAGCCATACTTACCCACCACAGTTGGTTCCATTGGTACCTAGATGCATTCGGGGTTCACTTGAAGCAAGTTTGATCAGTTCATTCCATTCCTTCTGCCATTCTTCCTCTGTGTACACCAGCCCTGACTATGTGAGAGACAAGCAGGGGACATCAAGCAATTAGAGACTAGATTCTGGAGCAATACCCATTCCAACTTACTCACTGTTACCCCATTCTATGCTTTTAGCACTTGGTTATAATTGAACCACAAAGTCAAATCTCTTCTTTCTTTCAGAGTCAAGATCCATAAAAGAACAGTCTACGATCCACACTTTATTTTCCATCCTTTTTTGACCCATTGCAGTTTGCCTTCTGTTTCTGCCCTCCACCCCATCACTCACTCCTCACATACCACTTCACCTAACTGACTCTGGCAAAAGACAGTGATCTTCTAATTGTCCAATTCAGTGGGCTCTCTCTGGTTCTCATCTTTCTCTGCCTTCATGTGGCTTATTTTCCTCTGTAAGCTTTCTTCTCCTTTATCTTCCATAATTTTACTTTCTCCTATTTCTCTGAAATCTGTCTACCCCCCAAATACTGGTATGGGGTCAATGATTTTAGCCCTGGTTCCTTTTGAGATCTCTTCTAATGCCCTAATCCAGTGGTTCTCAACCTTCTTAATGCCGCAACCCTTTAATACAGTTCCTGTGGGTCGCAACCCACAGGTTGAGAACCATTGCCCTAATCTCATCCACTACCACCTATACATTCATCACTCTAGAACGTTCCTCTCCAGCCCAGATTTTGTCTTACTCTCTACACACACATATCTAGCTGCCTACTAAAGACGGCTATCTACCCATGGCTATCTCAAACTCTAAATAGTCAAAACAGAACTCCTGTTTCTTCCCCAACCCTCTCTTCTTCCTATATTCACATCTTAGCAAACAGTACCAACTAGTATCCAAACACCCTAGCTAGAAACCAAAGAGTTATCTAAGACCAACTCCTTCCACACTTGCATCCCTCACTCAGCAATTGTTTAACACATGAACTACTATAATGTACCCCTAACTGGTTTCACTACCTCCAACCTTGTATTCTTCTGATCTATTTTCTACAATGCTACTGGAAAATGTTTTCTCATATTAAAATCTAATGATGTTTGCTTCCTGCTACAAATTCTTTTTAAAAACTTCATTGCTTATTAGATATAATTTAAATTCCTTATTTGTTATAAAGCCACTTCTCTAGTCCGATATCTCACTAAACTAGCTGTAGTTTCTGAAACGTACCATGCTGTTTTATAACTCTGAGCTTTTGTCTAAGTTGTTCCTTCTGCCTAAAACAGCCTGCCCTCTATCCATCTGGTGAACAATTTCTTAACTTACAGGACAGAACTCAGATAACACTCCTCTGCATGCTATCTCCTAAACCTTTCTGGTAGATAAGCTACTCCTTCCTTTGTACCCTCTCTCCCCAACTGCTTTGCAGACTTCTATCATAGAAGTTATACATGTTACATTTTGTTGCAATTTTTTTTAACATGTCCATTTTCTACTATTACTCTTACTCTTGTTTTATGCAATTTGCCTAGAGCCTATTACATAATCAGTAATCATAAACACATGCTAAGTAAAACTATAATGTTTATCAAAGGAGAATGTGTGGTGGTGCAGGCAATTTTAAAATATACTGGCTGTAGGATGTATATGATGATTTAGGAAACAAGTTTACCTTATTAATCATATTTGGCTGACATTAGTATTAAAATGAGTTCACAATGGAAACACAAGGAGCACTGGGAACAAATTTAATAGGAATTAAATAACTATTGTGAGCACATTTTACTTCAATTATAAGAAAATTACAAACCTATGTCCCATTTGTAAAAATTCTATCACAAATAGTATTTCAATTAAGGACAAAGAGACAATGCATACATTATGTATGGGTGCTCAAGTCAATGTGATATACACACCCAGGAGGATGGGTCTACCCTTCCTCGCTCTTATTTCTGCTTCCCGTTGTAATACACACAGCCACTAGGTGGTGCACTCTTCTAGCCTTTTTTTTTTGAGACAGAGCCTCAAGCTGTCCCGTAGGGTGCCATGGCATCACAGCTCACAGCAACCTCCAACTCCTGGGCTCAAGCGAGTCTCCGGCCTCAGCCTCCCAAGTAGCTGGGACCACAGGCGCCCGCCACAATGCCTGGCTATTTTTTGGTTGCAGCCATCATTGTTGTTTGGTGGGCTCGGGCTGGATTCAAACCCGCCACCTTAGGTGTATGTAGCTGGCGCCTTACCCACTTGAGCCACAGGTGCCCAGCCTCTTCTAGCCTTAACATTTAAGAAAATGGTCTTATTGAGTTTTACCACCAATTTCATCATAAAACACAAAGCCCAAGAAATCAAAACTTAGTCTGGTGTTTGGTCCTGGGGGGCTAGCTTGAGGCTCTGTCTCAAAAAAAAAAAGAAAAAAAAAAGATAATAACTACAATAGCTTCTATAACTGGAATTGAGTACAACTATTCTCTGACTATTACCATCATTTCTTTTTCTTTCTCTCTCTTTTTTTTCTTTTTTGTTTTTGAGAGAGTTTCACTATGTTACCCAAACTGTTTGAACTCCCCCTGGCTTAAAGCTATCCTCCTGCCTCAGCCCCCTAAGTAGCTGGGCTTACAGGCTAACATTTCTACCTAACAGTTGGTATGCTCTGGTTTGGCCTTTTCTTGTCTCTGCAGTGGTCTGTAAGGTTCAGGTATCATCTGAACTCAACAACAAAGAAAGTAAAGGTGACCACTGATTTACTTTGGGCCCTAAATTCTACACTGGGTCTAGCCCAAGCAAAAAAAAAAAAAGCTTTCCACAACATCCAACTCAACTTTTGGTGGTAATAAAGAATGTCATTTATGTGGCTTTGCCCCTATGACTTTATTCCCTCAGGAATCTTCTGAGGCAGATTGGCTGATGAAGGAGAGGACTCTGCTCTTGATATCATCCTACTTTTAACAACTGGATTCTTTTGTTTTTTGAGAAAGAAAAATATTCTATTTACCTATTTTTAATTTTCAGGACACAAAATTCAACATAACTAAAATAAATAAATCTCTTACTTCTATATTATTTATTGCCAGTTACGACAGAGTAAAGGCAGAAAAAAGAAGATGGAAGAAAAAGGAAAGCTTTGAAGAAATACTCCCATATTCAGTGCTAGAAACATCCAGCTATAAACGTGACAAAAACCAGATATACAAGAGCAGGAGACACAAACATAGAAGACAGACAGAAGCAGAGGAAAAGGAAATAGGGAGGCCCACTAATTGTATGTAAAGGTTTATCATTCTTGAAGGGAAACGATAAACTTTTTCTGTAAAGAGCCTGACTAAATACTTTAAGCTTTATAGGCCACACATTATGATCCTGCTGTTACATAGGAAAGCCGCTTACATACATAAACATACACAAAATGGGCAGGGCTCTGGTTTTTTTTTTTTTTTTTTTTTTTTTGAGACAGAGTCTCACTCAGTTGCCCTTAGTAGAGTGCTGTGGCATCATAGCGCACAGAAACCTCAAACTCTTCGGCTCAAGTGATCCTCTTGTCTCAGCCTCCCAGCTAGTTTTTTAGAGACAAGGTCTCGTTCTTGCTCAGGCTAGTCTCGAACTCCTGAGCCCAAGCAATCCACCCCACCTCAGCCTCCTAGAGTGCTGTGTGGTCTAACAAAACTTTTATTTTTTTTTTCTTAAAGAACAGTAAATGGGTGTCGAGGGGCATCAACCACACACACTGAGGCTGGCGGGTTGGATCCTGGCCTGGGGCGGCTGAGGCAGCAAAGAAAACTGCAACAACAACGACAACAAAAATGGCCGGACATTGTGGCAGGTGCCTGTGGTCCCAGCTGCTTGGGAGGCTGAGGCAAGAAAATTGCTTAAGCCCAGGAGTTGGAGGTTGCTGTGAGCTGTGACGCCACGGCACTCTCCCCAAGGTGACAGCTTGAGACTCTGTCTCAAAAAAAAAAAACAAAAACCAGTTGAGTTATGGGGATGGAAAGTACAAATAATCCATTATTATTTTCTTATATAAAAATAGCCTCGACATTTGCCAAATCCCTGAGGCCATTCAAATTCAATTTAACAGGGATGCTTTTAAAAACTTTAAACAAAACAAAAGATATGAAAAACAAATGGTATATATGTCCATTTCTATAAAGGTTGAAAATATATGTCCTTAAAAATTGGTCTAGCCTCAGTGCCCATGCTCGGTTAGGATGCTGGCCACATGCACAGGGATGGTGGATTCAGACTCAGCCAGGGCCTGCTAAACAACAAAGATAACAATAACAAAAAAATAGCTGGGCATTGTGGCAGGCGCCTGTAGTCCCAGCTACCTGAGACTTAAGCCCAAGAGTTTAAGGTTGCTGTGAGCTATGAGCTGTGACACCACAGCACTCTACCAAGGGTGACATAGTGAGACTGTTTCAAAAAAATAAATTGTTGTAGCCTCATTTCAAGCAAAAAAACAAAATATAAAAATCCTGGCTTGGCACCTGTAGCTCAGCAGCTAAGGCGCCAGCCACATACACCAGGGCTGGCAGGTTTGAACCGGACCAGGGCCTGTCAAACAACAATAACAACTACAGAAACAACAACAACAAAAATAGCTGGGTGATATGGCGAGTGCCTGTAGTCCCAACTACTTGGGAGGCTGAGGCAAGAGAATCACTTAAAGCCTAAGAATTTGAGGTTGCTATGAGCTGTGACGCCACAGCACTCTACCAAGGGTGAAATAATGAGACTCTGTCTTCAAAAAAAAAAAAATCCCCTGTGGAACTGTCATACTTCATTTTGCAAAAGACTGCCACTAAAGGTTCCTGAGCACCTCTGAGGTAAAAAGCACAATGTTTGATACTTCCTATGTAGGTCTGGACTTCCTCACACCATGTCTCATGACTATAAGAAGTCATTCATCTTATGATGTTATCTGCATTTTCAACAATTTTCAGGATTATGAACGGAGTTAACAGCAACCTAAATACCTAGAAGATATTTCCTAGTGGCAGGCACGGGGTAACATTGTGAAACAAGGTGGTCTCACCCAAGCTCTCCCACCTCTTTATTCTGCTGTGTTTGCTGCCATCGCCAGCGCCTTTTCAACGCCTCTTTCTCCACTCCCTTCTCCATCAGTGCATACAAAGCTTTCCGTAGCATCAAGTCCCGATCATGGAACCCCCACATCCCTGTGGCAAGAAAGCATGACTGTAAGACACCTCACCTTGATTGAGTTCCACTTACTAATTACGATGCACAGACCCAGGCATGAAGGCTATCAGGATGAAGCACAGCTTTAAAGAAACCTGTGATTTAGGGAAGAAGTATGTAATAAAGAAAGATGTTCCTGGGCGGCACCTGTGGCTCAAAGGAGTAGAGCGCCGGCCCCATATGCCGGAGGTGGCAGGTTCAAACCCAGCCCTGGCCAAAAAAAAAAACTGCAAAAAAAGAAAAGAAAAGATGTTCCTACTCTGCAGGTTCAAAGACATCGATAACTTGAAAGTGGGGGATACATCACAACCTACAAACTCCTGACAAGAAGCTCTTACATTTCTTTAGTTTAACAAACTAAAATACAGAGCAGTAACAGGTAAAACTGGCCTGGCATGCAGCAATCAACATCAAAGCTTGAGGGATGGCTGAAAAATGGGGAATTTTTTAAAAGCTAAGGGCAAATAATACACTGACTTATAAATAGGCTTAGTAATTTAAAGTAAGTATCACAAAGCCTGCTGAAACATATCTTTTCTATATACCAGAAAAATAAATATTAAGTAGAATTTTATGGACACACACACAGAGCTATATACCTCTTGCTTAGTGTTGCTCATTATGCTTATGGGCCAGCTCTCAGAGTGAGGCCAAGCTAATTCCTGTGCTCTAATCTGTAAACAAGACTGAAAACTCAGGATAACTATTTGGGAGGCTGAGGCAAGAGAATTGCATAAGCTCAAGAGTTGGAGGTTGCTGTGAGCTGTGAAGCCACAACACTCTACCCAGGGCAACAGCGTGAGACTCTGTCTCAAAAAAAAAAAAAAAAAAAAGAAAGAAAGAAAACTCAGGATAAGGCTTGTTCCCATCTCCTCCTGTGCCAACACACACACATGACTATCATATCTACCTAAGATCAAACTGGTTGGATCAAGTCATTTACATGAGATTTGACTCAACTTCTTCCTTTTTTTTTTTTTGTATGAAAGGTTTTTACTGGTGGGGGAGGGAGGCTGCAAAGCAGCACCAAGGAGGAGAGTAAAAAAGAGAAAAGTGGAGAGAAAAGAGGGGAGAGAGATGAGGAGGGAGTGAGGAAGAGAAGAGAGAGAGGGAGAGCAGAAAGGGAGAGCGGGGAGAAGGGGAAAAAGAGAGCAACTTCCTCCTTTTTACAGGAGAACAGAGGACTGTTTTCAAGACTTACCAAGAGAGGCTGCATGCAGGAGGCAGTTTCCATCTCCAGTAGTTGCCAAAGGAAGCAGCCTCTGACAGGTGGGGTCCACACTCACCCACCAGTTTAAACGCCCTGCATAAATATGACAGTGGAGAAAAAGAAAAGGTGCAAATTATCCACGAGGCCTTTTCTGCTTCCCTATTCCTTTCTTTTTTATTTTTATTTTTTGAGACAGATTCTCACTCTGTTGCCCTCAGTAGAGTGCCCTGGCATCACAGCTCACAGCAATGTGAAACTCCTGGGCTCAGGCGATTCTCTTGCCTCATCCTCCTCCCAAGTAGCTTAGGACTACAGGTGCTCACCACAATGCCTGGCTATTTTTTGTTGTAGGTATCATTGTTGTTTAGCAGGCCTAGGCCAGATTCAAACCCACCAGCCTCGGTGTATGTGGCTGGCGCATAACCACTGTGCTATGGACACCAAGCCATGCTTCCCTATTTCTAAAACAGACTCCAAGTTACTCCTATGGGCCAGCTCTCAGAGTGATAGAGCTAACTTCCCCTAGGAAGTCGGCCCAGTATAAAACCATCACTCTCTTACTAATCTTTTAAGCTTATATCTAGTCAGTCAGAATCTAGCAAGCATGACTGGTTAGATCAGTGCGTCTTAAGTGGGGACAATTTTGTCCCAGGGGGATATTCAGCAATATCTGAAGATAAATTTGCACATCATAACTGGTGGGGAATGCTATTGGTCTCCAGGGCAGAGGCCAGCGATGCTGCTAAAAGTAATATAAGGTGCCAGGCAGCTTATATAACAAAGAATTACCTGACCCAAAATGTCAATAGTGCCATAGTAGAAACCATGAGTTATATGATGAGGCCAAGGTTTTTATTTTTTATTTTATTTTGAGACAGAGTCTCATTCTGTTGCCCTTGGTAGAGTGCCGTAGCGTCACAGCTCACAGCAACCTCCACCTCTTAGGCTTAGGCGATTCTCGTGCCTCAGCCTCCTGAGTAGCTGGGACTACAGGCGCCCACAACACTCGGCTATTTATTGGTGCAGTTTGGCTGGGGCTGGGTTTGAACTCGCCACCCTCGGTATATGGGGCCGATGCCCTACCCAGTGAGCCACAGGCGCCGCCCAAGGCCAAGGTTTTTAGTTGAAAATTGCTGGCTACTTGGTCTAGCTCTGATTCCTACTCACTAGTGGGTCAAGAGACCAGTATTTTCTACTATAGCAAAAAAGCTCAGCATAAATCCATCATCAAAGACAAAAACAACTCAAAGAATGTAAAGTACCCTCTGAATACCACTTGCATATATGAGCACACATCAGCATGTGCAAGAAAATGAGTCTCAATCCTGTGTAGTTATCCCATAATTGCCAACCCATTATTTACCATTATGAGGAAAATATTTTATGAACAATGATTAAATGTTTTCTTGAATTAATGAAAAGTCTACATACAGAAAGAAAAACTGGCTTATAACCTTACCAGCTCAGATAACTTACTAGCTTTAAATACACACACACATACACACACATATATGTATATGGTTAGGCTAGAAGATTACAAAATGAAAAATAGAAGCTTTCTTTCCAGCCCCACCTCTTCCCTCCACCTCCCTCCCAGGGAGCATATGAATACCTAAGTAGCCTTCCCACAACTCCCAGTTGCCTTACCCTCTCATATTAACTAATTTTAACAATAATTTAAGAAAAACACAATTATAAAGGTAAATAAATTGGGATAGAAAGGTTCATATAAAATTTTTTATAATTTTTAAAATTTAATTAATTTCTTTTCTTTTTTGGTGGGGTAAAACAGAGTCCCACTCTGTCATCCTGGCTAGAGTGCAGTGGCATCATCATAGCTCACTGCAACCTCAAACTTCAAGGCTCAAGCAATCTTCTTGTCTCAACCTCCCAAGTAGCTGGGACTACAGATGTGTGTCATCACACCTGGCTAATTTTTCTATTTTTTGTAGACATAGCGTATAGCACTTGTTCAGGTTGGTTTGAACTCTTGATCTCAAATCATCTTCCTGCCTTGCCTCCCATATTACAGGAGTGAGCCACCATGTCTGGCCAGGTTCATACAAATAAATGTCACTTTCAGATTTCACTACTGTACATCATCTACGGCACTGGTCCTTTCTGTTCACAGAGGTGTTCTGGAGCCAATTATAATTTGGGGTTTTGTTTTTTTTTTTCATGTACTGATTTTTAGGTATTGATTCTTAGGCTTTTCACATGTATATCTGGTTTCCCTTCCATGAAACAGGAAATTTCCAAAGTGAAGTGTCTGATCTGTACCCTTTCTCTAAATTCAAAAAGCACCTCAGTCAATACATGTTTGACTCCTGGCTTTGACAGTAATCAAATCATACACTCAGACTAGAAGCTACCCATGAGGCCCAGCCCTTCTAGTGGTGCCTACAGGTGGAGAGTAAAGGGAAGAGCATAGAAGAAGAAACACTCACTGACCTGCCTGTTCCAAGGCAACCAGCATGGACTGTTCAATGAGGTCTCTCTCTATGAAGCTGCGAAAATCTTCATTGTACACAGTGAGATCTGGAAGCTGGAAGGCACAGATGGGCATTTCCAGGGGGTGCTCACTGCTCCCCCCACCCCCACCATTGGAGGAGACATGGGACCGGGCCAGGGAAACAATGCTGGAGCTGGCGTGAGAGATGCCCCTAGACAGGCGTTTTTCTGCAATAAAAAATGGAGTCACCTTAGAATAAATTCAGCTCACTCAGAGAACTCTCCACTGATGGGTGATTCTTATCTCTTGAGTTTACATTCAGGGAAAAATGGAGTCTAAGTGGCTACTGAATTTCATGACCCCCCCCCCCGCCCTTTTTTTTTCTTTTCTTCCTTTAGTGATTCTCTCGCCCTTAGCCTCCCAAGTAGCTGGGTCTATAGGCACCCACCACAACGCCTGGCTTTTTTTGTTAGAGACGGGGTCCCACTCTGGCTCACTCCAACTCAGGATGGTCTCTCCAACCTCTGAGCTCAGGCAATCCACCTGCCTCAGCCTCCCACAGCGCTAGGACTATAGGCGTGAGCCACCATGTCCAGCTTTATGACCCCTTTTGTCAAGCCAATATAATTGGAAAAAGTCAGATAGTGGTAATTTTTGTAGGCACTCACATTAGGACAAAATACAAATTCCTCTTTCTACCTCTGTTTGGAATTTGCCTGACCTTCTTCCTCTAACTCAGTGGTTCTCAACCTTTCTAATGCTGCGGACCTTTAATACAGTTCCTGGGTCATGACCCACAATTGAGAACCACTGCTCTACTGGTGTCTTCTTCCACTTCCATTTCCCAACATGATAGGGACCCATTCATTTAACAACTTGGTCATTGTTTGGTGGGAGGAAGAAGGAATAAGAGAAATGGGGTTTCACTAGACTAGATTTAGTCAAATCTCTCTAGTAATTCTCAGGAATTTAGAAAATAACTGGATTTCCATTATAGAAAAGAAAATTAATGACAAATCTTACACATTCGAGAATTTTCTTTGTACAGTAATAACATTTATTTAAATTATTTACTACGACTTTTTTTTTAAGACAGAGTCTCATTTTGTCACCCTCAGTAGAGTGCCATGGCCTCATAGCTCACAGCAACCTCGAACTCTTGGGCTCAAGCAATCCTCTTGCCTCAGCCTCCTAAATTGCTGGGACTACAGGTACCCACCACAATACCTGCTATTTTTAGAAATGGGGGTCTCGTTCATGCTCAGGCTGGTCTCAAACTCCTAAACTCAGGCAATCCGCCTGACTCAGCCTCCCCAAGTGCTGGTATTACAGGAGTGAGCCACTGTGCCTGGCCCTACAATTTTTATTAAGATCCATATTTATCAGAAATTTACAGAAACAGTTAATTCTTAACATTCAACTGAGGAAAACAATAATGTAGGGAGTGCCACAGCAATGTAATGATAATTTGCTCAGTGTAGTATTATAAATTCATTTGCATAGCCCAAGGTATGTAATGATTTACAGATTATCAGAAGAGAACAAGGTTTCAAAAGCATGTTGGATAGCCATTCTCAAATACTTGCCAGAGATTATGCAGAAAACAATTAATTATCTAAAGTTATTTTATAGTGGTGTTATTTTTTTTTTTTAGGTATTTAGAAAATATCATATACCCACAGTAAAAAATCAAAGTATTATCAAAAGGCATAAAGTGGTTTACAAATAAATCTTCCTCTCACTCAAAATTCCTGATCCCTTTCCCAGAGGTAACCTGTTGTATGCTTCTAAAAATGTATATGCAGGCCAGGCATGGTGGCTCATGCCTGTAATTCCAGCACTCTGGGAGGCTGAGGGGGATGGTTTGCTAGAGCTCAGGAGTTCAAGACCAGCCCGAGTCAGAGTGAGTCCTAAAAAACATAGCAGGGCGTTGTGGTGGGCATCTGTTGTCCTAGCTACTCGGGAGGCTGAGGCGAAAGAATCACTTAAGCCCAAGAGTTTGAGGTTGCTGTTAGACAACAAAGTGAGACTCCTTCTTAGGGGGGAAAAAAGTGTATATGCACATAGAAACACATATAGCTTTTAAAATCATCTCTTAAAACATAAAACAAGAGCATACTACACACATTGCCCTAATTCTTACTAATGACTGCAGAGCATTCCACAATATGCATGATTAAAGTTTATTTAACCACTCCTTTCATAATGAACATTTAAAGTTTTCAAGCTTTAGTTATTGTAAAATAATGCTACAGTGAGTATCATTGTAAATTGCATATGTGTATGTGTTTATGTATTTATTTAAAGGACATATGTATAATTCATACAAACATACACACACAGATACAAATTCCTAGATATGAAATTGCTGAGTCAAAGAACACAGTGCATTTTTTGATAGATACTGGCAAATATTAATAAATTACCCTCCAAAGAGGCAGATAGTAGTAACCCTTTTAATTCAACCTTTAGGTGAACCTTATCTCAACAAATTGATTGTTATCCTCCTTCCTCTATTTCTTTCACAGCATCTGAAGACAACTTTTTATACAAGATAACACTCAAGATGTTGAGACAGTGAGGAGCTCCAGTGCCTGGACAAACTGAAGCCACCTCAATCTGGGTTTGGCTTAGGGATAAAGGTAAGGAATACAACCATTTCCAAAGGATAGCTAGGACTTTCTGACTCTATTTAGCAGTTCCCTCCCCTCCTACTCCATGAAACATGCCCCAGTTCCTCCAGTACCTTGAATGATGTCATCCTGCCGCTGTAGGACAGGTCGGGGAGGGCGAGTTGACTCTTTATCAGAAAAGCCTTTCTCAGAGGTCCTGGAGCCACCACTCCCTTCACTGAAAGGTGGTGGTAGGTTCCCAGCATGAACTTGACGTAGCTGTTCAAAATCACTGAGGGCAGCACTCACATCCCAGTTCTTTCCTGTAGGGAGACAAGAAGAAAAGTGAATCGTGCACTCAGCATACAGGCAAATTGGAAAAGACACAGAAAGATCACATCCTATCATAACTAGCAAGTATACAGTTATTCATACTCATTCATTCTTTTCCCTGCCTTGCTTTAATTTTCCTCGTAGCACTTCAATCTAAAATATCAAATTTGCTGGCCAGTGTGATGGCTCACATCTGTATTCCTAGCACTCTGGGAGGCTAAAGTGGATGCACTGCTCAGGAGTTCTAGCTCAGTCTGAGCAAGAGCGAAACCCCATCACTTCTAAAAATAGAAAAATTAGCCGAGCATTGGGGCGGGTGCCTGTAGTCCCAGCTACTCAAGAGGCTCAGGCAGGAAGATCCCTTAAGCCAAGAATTTGAGGTTGCTGTGAACTGTGGCACCATAGCACTCCACAAAAGGTGACAAAGTAAGACTCTGTCTCAAAAGAAAGTATGTAAATAAATAAATAAATATCAAATGTATTTATTTACTTATTTATTGCCTATTACCTAAATAAGCTTCATAAGGATAGATAATTTATCTCTCAGAACTAAAAGAGGTCTCAGAAATCTAGTAACCTAGGCCAGGTGCAATGGCTCACGCCTGTAATTCCAGCACACTGGGAGGCCAAAGTGGGTGGATTGCTTGAGCTCCTGAGTTCGAGACCAGCCTGAGAAAAAACCAAGACCCAGACTCCTATTAAAAATAGAAAAAGTGAGGCAAGAGGATTGCTTGAACCTGAGCTGCAGGTTGCTGAGCTATGATGCCACAGCACTCTACCCAGGGCAATAGCTTGACACTGTTTAAAAAAAAAAAAATAAAGAAATCTAGTAACCTAAAACTAAAACTTCCTTTTACATATGAAGGAAGCAAAACGTAAGTAAAATGACTTCCTTAAAGTCATGGCTAGTTCGTAGTAGGACCCAGCATGACTCAAGCCCAGGTCTCCTAATTGTGAGCTCCAAGGAGGTTTTTAGTTTAGATGTGTTCTCCAGAGTATCATCAATCATTGAGCTTACATACAAAGTTATGGGTTTGCATATGTTTCTAGTAAAAGAGTTTAGTAGAAAAACTCTAGTACACTGTCATCAGCTTACCGAAGGGAACTATACAAGTATTTCTCCCCAATTTAAGAATCACTATTTCACTGAAGAAATAACCATAAATAATAGACTTCTCATAATGGATTTTTTTATTGCTTTCTCCAATTAAATTATTCAATAAATATGCATTGCATAGTTTTTCAGACTTCTTTCTGGTCTATTCCATATGTCACTACCTTAATTCAATTTCTGTCACCTACTGTCCTGCCTCTAATCTACTGTAAAGAATCCCATGAGATTAATCTTTCTAAAGCACAGTGCTAATCATTTTAGTTTTATAATCAAAATCTTTTTTTTAACACGCTATGGCTCTGTCACCTAGGCTAGAGTGCAAAGGTATCACCATAGCTCATTGCAACTTCAAATTCCTAAGCTCAAGCAATCCTCCTGCCTCAGCCTTTGAGTAGTTGGAACTACAGGTGCCCACCACAATGCCCAGCTAGTTTTTCTGTTTTTTTGTAGAGATGGGGTCTCACTCTGGCTCAAACTCCTGGCCTCAAGCAATTCTCCCACCTAAAGCTCCCAGAGTGCTACAATGACAGGTATAAGCCACCACCCCTGGACCATAATAAAAATCTTTAATGGCTTTTTCACTGCCTATGGAATAAAACTTGGGCTTCTTTGCCTGATATTTGAGGCCTTCTATGACCTGGCCTACTTTTCTAGTCTCTTCTCTGTGCTTTAAGTTCCTTATCTGTGAAAATGCAGGGAATAATAGCAGTGCCTACTTGATAGGGCTGTTACAAAGACTAAATGAGTTGAAACACTTGGAATAATGTGTGGTTTTACCTATGACTTTACTTTTAAGCCATTACATTCACCATTTGTTACAAATCCCTGTGCTCATTCTGTTCCACTCACACTGCCCTTATTGTTACTAGAACATGCAAGTCTGCTCCCACTCTAGGACCTTGCTACTGACAGTTCCCACTCCCTAGAAGCCTCTTTCCCCACTGTGTCTACACAGACAACTGATTTTTCATCAGTTTTAGGTCCTGGCTGGAATGCTACATTCTTTTTTGAGACACCGTCTTGCTATGTTGCCTTTGGTAGAGTGGCATGGCATCACAGCTCACAGCAACCTCAAACTCTTGGGCTCAGGCGATTTTCCTGACTTAGCCTCCCAAGTAGCTGGGACTACAGGAGCCCACCACAACGCCCAACTATTTTTGTTGTTGCAGTTGTCATTATTGTTTGGCAGGCCCTGGCCGGGTTCAAATCCACCAGCCCCAGTGTATGTGGCCAGTGCCCTAACCACTGAGCTATGGGCACCAAACTGAACCCCACATTCTTAATATGTCCTACCCTAATGACTTAATTAAAAATCACAGTCCACTTCATCATTCCCCTTACCATTTTCCATAGAGCTTAGCACCTGCTAATATACTTCATAATTTACTTAGTCAGCATGATTATTGCCTATTGACTGTTACTCATGATGGAATGTGAGGGCAGGGATTTTTTTTTTTGCTTTATTTTATTCAAGTATCTAGACAAGTACCTGGCACATAGTAGGTACTGAATAAGTATCTATTGAACCAATGGAGGATTTCTGTCCTGAATCAATCAATCAATAACATCTGTTTCAGTACTTGATCTATAAATCCATCTGCAAAGCTCCTTAAAACCACATCCTCCTAACAATCGGCATGTCCAAGACTGAATGTCCATCATCCTCCTTCCCAGGACTTGCTCTTCCTCTTATGTTCCCTAAGTCCGCAATGGCATCACAATCCCTCCAGGCCCAGAAACTTCAATCATTCTCAGCTCCTCACCATTCCTCACATCGTACTTGGCTCTTCTCTTACCATCTAGTCAATCCTCAGAATTGTTTAAAACACACCAAGTGTACGAGCATACAAGCTGGAACCGTAGGCTCTCACCACAACGCCTGGCTAGATTTTTTTTTTTTTGAGACAAAGTCTTACTTTGTTGCCCTGGGTAGAGTGCCTTAGTGTCACAGTTCACAACAACCTCAAACTCTTGTGCTCAAGCAATTCTCCTGCCTCAGCCTCCCAAGTAGCTGGGACTACAGAAGCCTGCCACAACACCCAGCTATCTGGCTTAGGCTGGTCTCAAACTCGTGATCCACCCACCTTGGCCTCCCAAAGTGCTAGGATTACAGGCATGAGCCACTGTGCCCAGCCAACACTCTGTTGCTCTAAGTAGAGTGCTCTCGTGTCATCATAGTTCACAGAAACCTCAAACTCTTGGGCTTATGCAATCCTCTTGCCTCATCCTCCTGAGTAGCTGGGACTATAGGCACCTGCCACAATGTCCAGCTACTTTTTCTATTTTTAGTAGAGATGGGCTGTCACTCTTACTCAGGCTGGTCTGGAAATCCTGAGCTCAAGCAATCCACCCACCTTGGTCTCCCAGACTGCTAGGATTACAGGCGTGAGTCACTGTGCCTGGTCTGATTTATTCCTTACACTACAACCAGCGTTAACTTTTTAAAGAGAGAAAGCAAGACACAGGGAGAAAATGAGGATCGGGTCTTCTGATGACTCTTCTAAATTATGTGTTAAATCCATTCACTTCTCTCTATTGTTATCATAGTAGACCAAGTCACCATCATCTCTCACTTGAACTACGGCAATATTCTTAACTGGTTTTATATGCTTTCTCCATCATCCATTCTGTAACCTACAACCAGGATATTGTTAAAAAAAACTCAAATCCAATTATGTAACTGTCCTGATTGAAATCCTTCACCAGCATCCCAGTGAACTTACAATAAAATAAAAACTCCTTACCAAAGCCCCCCATATTCTACTTCCTCCTATCTAAACAGCTTCCTGCCAACCTTGCACCATTCTTACTACCTTGCTTATTAGTAGTTTCTCCGTGTGCTCAGCTCTCTCTCCCCTACGGCCCTTATGAGCTATTTCTTCTGTATAAACATTCCCTTCTGTCTTGCTGCTCATACTCATCCTTCAGAGTTTGACTTAAACACCACTTCCCTAGAAAGGCCTTCCTGCATTCTAGACCTAAATCAAGTCTCTCTCTTCCTTCTCATTAGCACTCTCAACTTTTTTTTTTGAGACAGAGTCTCACTATGTTGCCCTTGGTAACATTGTGAGGTTGCTCAGAGCAACCTCAAACTCTGGGGCTTAAGTGATTCACTTGCCTCAGCCTCCCAAGTAGCTGGGACTACAGATGCCCGCCACAACACCCAGCTGTATTTTGTTGTTGTTGTAGCCGTCATTGTTGTTTAGCAGGCCCAGGCTGGGTTTGAACCCACCAGCGCCAGTGTATGTGGCCAGTGCCCTAACCACTGGGCGACAGGCGCCGAGCCTCAACTTTTTTTTCACAGCATGAGTATGCATGTGCCAAGTGTGTGCACATACAAGCCATAATTTGTAATATAATAGCTAAGAGCCATCACTCTAAAACGAAACTGCCTGAGTTTGAATCCTATTTATGACTGAGATAATAAAACCTCTATTGCAAGGTAGTTGTGACTGAACATGTAACAGGTTACAAAAGGAGTGGGCAATGGTTAAGGATTATTTAATAAAAAAGGAATATTTGACTGAATCTTGGAGAATAAGGAGAATAATGGAGGAAAGGATGCTATACACTTAGAAAACAACAATCCAGTCAGGCAGGGCTGGAGCATAGGAAGTCAGGGGAAAAACAGTAAGAGATGAAACTGAGCAAGTTAAGGGTAAAGTTGTACTATATTAGTAAACTGGGATTTATTTATTTAGAGACAGAGTCTCAACCTGTTGCCCTGGGTAAAGTGCCGTGGCATCATGGCTTACAGCAACCTCCAACTCTTGGGCTCAAGTGATCCTCTTGCCTCAGTTTTTCTATTTTTTTAGTAGTGACTGCTTTTGCTCAGGCTGGTCTTGAACTCCAGCTCAAGCTATCTACCCATCTCAGGCTCCCAGAATGCTAGGATTACAGGTGTGAGCCATCATACCCAGCCTAGTAAACTGGAATTTAAACTCTGATTTTCTGTTTCCAAAATCATGTTCACAAGTAGCTAAGCAAACTGTCACGCCTTGCAAAGGGCTGACAATCTAAAAAGTTACCTATGAGCCAAGTGTGGTGGCTCGCACCTGTAATCCTAGCACTCTGGCTGAGGTGGGAGGATCACTTGAGCTCAGGAGTTGAAAACCAGTCTGAGCAAGAGCAAGACCCTATCTCTACTAAAAAAAAAAGAAAGAAAGAAAGAAAAGAAAAGAAATAAATTAGCCACCTGTAATCTCAGCTACTTGGGAAGATAAGGCAGGAGGATTATTTGAACCCATGAGTTTGAGGTTGTTCTCAGCTAGGCTGATGCCATTGTACTCTAGGCTGGGTAACATGGTGAGACTGTTTACAAATAAAAAAGTACCTATGTATACTAAGAACTTGCCCATCTGTGTCATATATTTTCGTATTTTCATCTGTTATGACTCTAAACAAAGAATCATACAGAAATGATTCTGAACCTTCAGAACCTTAAAAGATAGAACATTCCCACTGATGTGTACATATAGATATAAGTAAACAAAAACAGCAAAATGAAAACATTAAATTAATTCACTCAGTATAGAATCACTCATATAAGTCAGGGAAGGAAAGAAACAAAAAAAATGGATGATCCCAAATATAAAAATCCAAAAGTCATTGATACATAAAGAGGAAGTCCTACAGATCTAGAATTATGCTATTACTGGACAAACACAAGTTTTAATTTGCATTACCGGAGCATACATGGTGGAGAAAGCTGCCTCAGGAAGATAAAGGTGAGAACAGGATTTTGAATTTTAAAATTATGATGGGTCATACACAGAGGAGATTGTTAGAAGTAACCTTAATGTAGGTCCTGCCATATATTTTAAATGTTCACCTAAACGTTTCAAGTGATTCTTCCCCATAACTCCTTACCTTCCAAGAGATCTCGGGCTAGCCCTGGCTCTGCTCCTGTGGAACGGACAAAATCCGACAGGACAGCATCCATGTCCAGGGTCATGTGATCATCAAGTACTTTCAGGCAGATGGATGTAGGGAGAACACAGATCAATATTCAGGCCTCTACCTGAAGAAGAAATAAACACATAAGCCTCATATTACACCGGAACAGGGTGATTGCTGACCAATTTCAGCAGCTTCCTAACCAACTAGGGAAACTAAGTATCTTAGCTTACTTGGTTCAGTTTTGTTTGTTTGTTTGTTTTTTCTGAGACAGAGTCTCCCTTTGTCACACTTGGTACAGTGCTGTGGCATCACAGCTCACAACAACTTCCAACTCTTGGCCTTAAGCGATTCTCTTGCCTCAGCCTCCTGAGTAGCTGGGACTACAGGTGCCCACCACAACACCCAGCTATTTTTTGTTGCAGCAGTCATTGTTGTTTACCTGGCCTGAGCCGGGTTTGAACCCACCCCCTTCAGTGTATGTGGCTGGCACCGTAACCACTGTGCTATGGGAACTGAGCCTCATTTCAGTTTTTAAAATACAGCAAGTTAAAATCAATTATAAAGAGTAACATTTAATTCCTTAGTACCTTATTAACATTAATGTCTTAACTCTTCCATTAACTATAAACCTGTAATATAACTGTGAATACTTCTTTTCTAGAATATTACATTTTGAGTTTGCTTATCTAAACTGAAAGAAGGCAGCAGCAAGCTACTACCCTAAAAACACTCCATGTGCAATATCGTACCTTATTTATTTCCTTCCGGGCACTTGAATTCTCTAAAGTTATTTCACTTAGCTGCTATGTCTACAATTTAAATTTCTTGGAAGCAGGGAACTTGTCTTCACTAATGTATCCTCAACATACATCAGAACAGAGCTTGGCATACATGTCCTCAGTGAGTAGTATTTGTTGAATGAATAAATGCTACGTACTGGAAACTAGATAATGTGAGGGTTAACTAAGTATTAAATGCCAGGTACTAATTTACTACATAACTTAAATTTCCCTCTTGTCTCTCCTCCCCGCAACATGAATTGAGTTTTTCTCTTGTGTGGGTGTTTATTAGTTCATCTACTGGCTTCAAATTAGTATTGAGTATGTTGCATACTTGCTTTTCTAATGTGTTTTGATGCTAGCAGAGGAAATGGTAGGAGTAAACTGATAGCTGCAACTACTCAAAATAAAACAATAAGCTATTCTGCAAAGCAGAGTGGGGACCCCAAAGGTTTACAACAAATGTCAATGTCCACTAACTTCACAAACCCAGGAAACATGCCTACCTTCAATATGTCTTTTTCCACCCAGGACAAATGACTGCCAAATGAGTTCACCTGAAAAAGATCTCTTCTTACAGACTTGACTTTGGCAGAAACTATGTCCCTGACCTGATAACCTGGCACCAGTCCAATATTCCACTGAGGTTAACAGTCCCAACAGAGAAAGCAATAACAGAGTGAAGAACGATCTCTGACCCAATTCTGTGAAATGTACAGAATTTGTAGAAGAGGACTCCATTCGTAAAGTCGCCAGATATACACCTGCTTTGCCTTTTAGGGAAGGCCAAAAATATAATTCTTGAAGGCAACACATGATTCAGGTGACTATGGAGAAGTGTCTACTTCTAAATAGCCTGAAGTCTAAAGGGTTGACTCCCAGATACTTTTTTCTTCATGCCTGACCCTATCCCAGGACACAGCTTGTTTAGTGGTATAATCAGATCCTTCTTATTTTCTCCATTCCTTGGACACATGAAGGCAAATGAACACCAGAAATTTGTGGGTTATAAAACCAGTGAGTCACTAACTTATAAACTTAACATTGGATTTTTTTTTTTTAAAGACATCAAATTTGAAAGTGTTCTCTCTTGTCTTGTTCTGGTAGTATATACCAAGAGATTCACAAATGCAGGGCCATGATCTGTTCATATTTGTAGCCCTGACGTCTAGCATAGCATCTATAATATATTAGGTAGTCAATAAATGACTAAGTGAACCTCCACATCATCCACCAGGAAAACAACCAATTTGAACCTTAGCAGATCAGAAATTCTAAAGTACTTCTCATCACTCCTCTATCTTTAAGGGTCTGTCCTGGTCCCACTCCATCTCTCAAAGTTTTAGAAACTAAAACTCTCCTTTTTAAAGAGACATCAACCATACTGTCACTACTCCCTCTGCCCTCATATTATATGATTTTTACATATTAACTGGATGATTTTGGTCAAATTACACAGGGTTTTCAATTACCTTTTCTATATCCTAGACTTGGATTAGGTAACTCCTAAGATCCTTTCCAGGTTTAAAAAATAAACTTTAGGGCAGTGCCTGTGGCTCAAAGGAGTAGGGCACCAGCCCCATATGCCAGAGGTGGAGGGTTCAAACCCAGCCCCAGCCAAAAACTGCAGAAATAAATAAATAAACTTTAGTTTACTGTAGCCTCATAAGCTATGACCTTTGCATTCTTTTTCAGTTTAGGTATTATCAATGTCTAATTTACTTCCATTTCAATGTCATCATTATCAGAGAGGGCTACTAATACATAAAAAACTTTTGGTCTAATATATCTTAAATTCAAATGTTAAGTTAAAAGTAAATTAGTTCTTACATTCAATACTTAAGAATTAAATTCCTTCACAGTTCATAGATGTAAAGGCTTTTCCCTCCCTACTCCAAGCAAGAATTTCTTTTCTTTTCTTTTCTTTTTTTTTAAAGTTGTTTTTTTTTTATTATGGCAGTAGGAAAAATTAATAAATTTTTATTCAAGGAATTTCATATGTCATTCTCCTTCTGCTGTCCATCTCAACGGCTGGAGTCAATGAAGATTTACCTTCCAGATAGCCCTTTTTTAATGACCAGATCCTCAATCCACAGTTGTCTTGTTCGCCCTACGTAATAACAAAAGTTTACAGCTCCAAAGATGATCATATAAAAGAAACCACCTAGTAGCTATCCTGAAGTTAGCTAAAATTGGCCAGAAGTATCTCTTCTGTAAGGTGCAAGAGCATGCACTATTCCTGCTGTAAAATCTATTACACAGTCATGGTTGCTTGCTTAGTATTTCCACTTGGACAGGGTCACACGCAGGCAATAGCGGAAAAACAATAGTCTAATAAAGGGTTAATAAAATGTCCCCAGTAGGCTGAGTGCTAGCAAAATAGCAGATAGAAAACCCAGTGGAAGTTTTTTTATGGTCATGTCCACAGCAATAAGAATTTATTTTCCAAGTCCACTGAGTCTTGGCCACAGGAAACTGTAGCAGTTCAAATCTTTTATACATATAAATAATCTAAAACAAAGTGCAGAGATGCAAAATAAATTTTAAGTCGCTCTCCTTAAAAATAAAGTCAAGGCCAGATGTGGTGGCTCACACCTGTAATCCCAGCACTTGGGAGGCTGAGGCAGGTGGATTGTCTGAGCTCACAGGTTCAAGATCAGCCTAAGCAAGAGCAAGACCCTGTCTCTAAAAATAGCTGGGCATTGTGGCAGGCACCTGTAGTCCCAGCTACTGAGGCAGGAGGATTGCTGAGCCCAAGAATTTGAAGTTGCTGTGAACTATGACATCACAGAAAAGAAAAAAAAAGGACAAGGAATACAAAACCAAAAAATACACACAATGTCTTTCAATCTTCAACCTTTCTAATATAACAGAGCAGGCACTCAAATATTTGTTAATTGAATTATGTAAAGACATATTTTAACTAGCATCAAAATTCTCCAATCTTCCAACTGGAAAGACATTTAGCAATTACTTAATCTAACACCTGCTTCCACGCAAGAATCCTTCTTTTACATATCTGGCAGATAAATCACCTAGTCTACACTTGAATACAAGGTCACAGAGAAACCTGTTACTGTGCCATAATGTCCATTTTATTGTTGAACAACTCTAATTGTTAGAAATGCTTTTCTAAACTAAAACAAAAGCTATTGGGGCTGGGCACAGTGGTTCACGCCTGTAATACCAACACTCTAGGAGGCCAAGGTGGGTGGATGGCCTGAGCTAACAGGTTCAAGACCAGCCTGAGCCAGAGCAAGATCCCCACCTCAGAAAACAGCCAGGAGTTGTGGCCAGAGCCTACAGTCCCAGCAACTTGAGAGGTTGAGGCGAGAGAATCACTTGAGCCCAAGACTTAGAGGTTATTATGAGCTCTAAGGCCATAGCACTCTACCAAGGGTGACTATGTCTAAAAAAAAAAAAAAAAAAAAAAAACAGGCTCAGTGCCTGTGGCTCAGCAGCTAAGATGCCAGGCACATACATAGGAACTGGTGGATGCAAATCCAGCTAAGGCCTGCGAAACAACAATGACAATTGCAATAAAAAATAGCCAGGTGTTGTGGCAGGTGCCTGTAGTTGTAGCTACTTGGGAGTCTGAGGCAAGAGAATCACTTAAGCCCAGGAGTTTGATGTTGCTGTGAGCTATGATGCCATAGCACTCTACTGAGGACAGCATAATAACAATTTGTCTCAAAAGAAAAAAAAAAGCTATCACTAGACCTCTCTGCCTGTAACTTTCATGTAACAGTCCTCATTTTTCCCCCTAGAAAAATAAAACCTACTTCCATGCATGATGAAGTTTTCATGGAAAATTATTAGATAATGTATTTCTCTACATAAATATTTGCTCCAGATCAATATCGCAATGTTATTAAAAGCTAGCCTGTGGCCTTTATTTTATTAAAAATCCTTTCTTTTATTATTTTTAAATTTAATTTTTTAATTTATATAAAGTTCATTATCAGTACTTGTTTATACCTCTATTCACTTGTAAATGTTTGTACTAACCCTATAAACTCAACATGCTGAATAAATGAAGTACCTTGTGCAAAATTCACTTCTGCTATCTTTGCCTCTCACCCCTGATGCCACTTCCATGTCCTTTTAAAGTGATGATAGCACTCAAGAACAGAAACTAACAAGTTAATATTAGTTAAGGAGTTTCAAAAACACTATCTTTATTCACTAATGACAAAACTCCTGTAGCAAGTCTCAGTATTCCTAATTTATGGAGAAAGAAAAACAGCTTGAAAAATCAGGTGGGCAGCCAAAAGTTTGAACCCAAATAGTCTGAACCCATACATGCTCTTTCTAGTGTGTCACACTGCTTCCCAAGGAACTAGGGCAGCAATTCTCAACCTGTGGGTTGCAACCCTTTTGGACTATATTAAAGGTTCACGGCATTAGGAAGGTTGAAAACCACTGGACTAGGGCATTGCTATTTCCTGGAACTGTCCTGATTCTTAGCTATTTAATTCTTTTACCACAACAAAGTGCTATACCTCTTTCTCTATTTATTAAAGACTTAAACACCCGCTTTATACTTACCTCACTTCAAATCTTACCACCTTTTGAGCAATTTCAACATCTACCTGCACAAGTCACCTAACATTTCTGCCTTAGTGTTTCATAATCTTTTCAAATATAAAGACCTCCATCTTCACTAGAACAACTCAGACCTTGACACTACCATTTCCTGAAATCATTCTACCTCTAAATCTTAAAACTCCAACATCTTACTCTGGGTACAACCTCTTCTCCTCTCAGCTTTTTCTCTACTTCTAAACCTGCTTTCTCATCCTTAACCATCTTATTCATTAGTTTAACAAAAATTCATAGAGTGCCTATATAAGTTAGGCATTGAGCCCAGGATTAAAAACATAACAGTGAACTAGACAAAAACCCTATCTTCACAAAAACCAGAAGAAAAGCCCACAAAATTTCAAAAACAATTATAATAATGAAATGCTGGGAAGGGAGCATTATCTCCTTCAGGGAGTTAGAAAAAGCTTCCCCAATGAAATGACATTTTGTCTAAGAACTAAAGAATATAAGAAGCAATTGGAAAGACTAACTGGGAAAGGAAGAATGCTCTGAGCAAAGGAAACATATTTCAAAGTTCCGTGGCAGGAAGGAACTTAGAGGCGAAACCCATGTAAAATGAGGATGAAGAGAGTTCCTAGTGGATCCTGGCAAAAGATTTGAGATTTTATTCTAAAAGTAATAAGAAGCCACTAAAGGGTTATAAGCAAGGACAGGATATGATCAGGTATGAATTGTTAAAAGATCATCCTGGTTACAGTGAGAATAGTTTGAAAGGAATACAAGTGGATTTCGAGATAGAAATGATTAGAAAATTATTGCAGAAGAGATGGTGGTAAGCTAGGCCAAGATAATAACAATGAAGACTGAGAAAAACTGATTCCATTTGTACCTTCTTGCCTAACTGAAAGCGAAACCAATGACTGATCCCTTAATTTATTTTCCTGTAAAAACCTAGTTCTTTTACCCTTCTCTTTCATCTACCCAATGTGAATGGACCCCACCTTTCAATTTCTCTGCTACTAAATGTGACTATTGAGCAAAAAAAAGATCACATAACTTGCAGAGAAATATGACTACTAACAAATGGTATTCAAGCCTTCTTCCTCTCCTTGAAACACTGCTTGACTTTGGTAGCTCACCTGATCTTCTCAGCTACTATCCCATACCTTTTCCATCCTCCTTGAGCCTCCTGCTCAATCCATATACCTCCCTTCACTCCCGGTAAATGACAGTATCCTACTTCACAGGAAAAAAAATTACAAAACAAAGCAAGAGAAGTTCCTTTAGCCTCCACCTCTGCCTGTACCTGCTAGTTGCTATTCTCTTTCTTGCAAAACTCTGTCCTCAACCTACTGAAATGGGCTGATACAGAAAGAGAACAACATTGTCTTATGGATGACATCATCACAATCATCCTTAATGCTGATCCCTTTGTAGCATTTTGATACTTACTGAGTATTCTTCCTGTCTCTCTGGCCCCATGTCTTTGTGGACTCCTCTTCCTGTGCATGAACTAAAGGCTACTCACAATTTTAACCTTAGGCTTTCCATATTTTCATTTCATTACCATCCCCATTGAAAACATCATTCTTGGCTCTAAGTACTCAAATGCTTCTAACTCCAAATGTATCTGCAGCCCCTTCCCTTCCATCTCACCTGGGAATGTTACAGGCACTTCAAACTCAACATGTAAAAACCTGAGCTCGCTGGGTGCAGTGGGTCACACCTGTAATCCTGACACTTTGAGAATCTGAGGTGGGAGGACTGCTTAAGGCCAGGAGTTCAAGACTAGCCTATGTAAGAGCAACACCCCATCTCTACAAAAAATAATTTAAAAAATTATCCTTGTGTGGTAGTGTAGGCCTGCATCTACTCGGGAAGCTAAAGCAGGAGGATTGCTTGAGCCAGACATGAGAGGCTGCAATGAGCTATGATGACACCCTCTACACTCTAGCCTAGGCAATAAGAGACTCTGTCTTCAAAAAAGAAAAGAAAAAGAAAACCAAAACCAAAAATATGAGCCCATTCTCTGTCATTAACCTTTTCAACTATCCCTCTTCCAGTATTGCCTATTCTACCAAATAGTGCTATTTTCACCAATTACCCAAGCCATAAGCTTGGAAACCACCCTGAACTTTTCTCTTGCCGCAATATCACAGATAAACTTTTAAAGTTTTACTAATTTTACTTAAAGGGCCCTCAAATCCAACACTCTCCATAGGCTACATCTCTTTTATTCTATCTCAGATTTTCATAACCTGGACTCCAGGAAATAGGATCTTAACTTCTCTCTCTAGCTCTCAGTCATTGATCAGCCTCTACAAGCAATCACTGAACAATTTAAAATGCCAGTCTGATAGTCTTATATCCTACTGCTCTAAATTCTTCAATAGATCTCCAATGACCAATGCTTACGATCCAAATTCCTATCCATGTCCAACAAGGCCTTCATGATATGGCTCTACCTAAGTCTCCAGCTTTATCTACTTCCCATTATTCTCCTCCTCATACTGGTATTTCCCCAACTGTATTATGTGCCTCAAATTTCTATTCCTTTATACATATTGTTCCCTCTGCCTGTAATAACTCCCAGTCTCACAGGTGAATTCTTCTTCTTTAAGCGTAGTGCTACTATCTCTTTGGCAAAACCTTCTCTAGCTTCCCAAGTTAAATTGCCCACTTCTTCCTTGGTGCCCCCACTGTACCTTGTACTCTACTTCTATCATCATATTTATCATACTGCATGGTATGTTTATTTATTTACATGTCTGTCTCCCCACTAAACCAGGAAAAATATGAGGGCAGGAATCTTGTTTTGTTCATCCTATAACCCTAGCATCTCAGCACCTAGCAGGTGCTCAATTTTTATTTAGACAAACTAAAATATATTTGTAAGTACCCCACAACACACACATGTACACAC